CAGCAGGGTGTCAAAGACAGCCATAGAAAATTATGACAGAAATGAATGATGAAAACTAAAATGATTTTTTTTTACTTGTGACATTTTCACCTGTCGGTGCCGAGAAGGAGACAATAAAAAGATAGATGTGAAACTGTCTGTGAGGTCAGCGTATCCAGTGGATAACCATGCCCCAAAGCACATGATTCATTGCATCTATGTGTGGAAGACGCCTTTCTTTAGATCTGAAATTGAAATATGACCAGAGCACACCAGGTGACGAATGCTTCATGTTTTTATCTGAATTATATTTAAACAACTTTTATATCATCATACATATTTACATACGTATATAGATATACGTATACATGCATATACATATATAAATACTGTATATCTATATATATACATACATACATGTATAAATACATGTATTTATGTAATAATTTGCAGAAAAATTAATCAGCTGTAGATTTGTACTCTTTTTTTTATGTCACTCCAGATTTTCTTCCTGAAACATTACGATTTGATGTTTTTTCTTGTCATATCTGACAGTAAATTGATCTGTGCTGTGGGTAGTTGGTTCGCTAATTTAATTTCTTTATGAATGAATGGAAAAATCTGCTGATTCATTCAAACTAAACTGTAGCTTTTATTCCTGTGGGACCATTATTTCAGTAATAAATGAGCAGGACAGATAAGGAGAGACATCAGACAATTCGTTTCCACATTTTATTTCAATCGTTTATCATGATTTAAGGAAAGTCTGCACATAAATTAATCAAATGCAAGAATAGTATAGTATAATTGTATAAATTGTTGCACAACAGGGTTATGGCTATAAAACTCAGAGCGCAGCAACTGCAGCCAAAGCAAAAATCATTAGTGCCGAGCTGAGCTCCAAATGACAAGCTGCTCTGCATTGTTCTGCTTTCCGGCTGCACCCTGGGGGGTGCTCGGCTCCACAAAAAGGAGCCTGGCCCCGAGCTGCCCAGACACTGACGCCTGGAGAGGAGAGGAAAAGTGTTGCGGTGCGGAGGCGGCGTGTTTATAAAGAGTTATCACAGAAACAGTCGCAAAAAACACCACAAGGAGAAGCTGAAAACGTTGAATAAAATAGAAACAGAAGCAGAGGGAGGGAACGTGTTGCATCTATCTCTTAACCTAATTAAAAATAGATAATAGGAGACACAAAGGGGAGGCCAATAGGAAAGAGAGGATATAAAGAGGGTGTAAAGAGCTGTCAGAAAGTTGCAGCGAGGTTCAAATGAGAGAGAAGATGGGGGCAACAAAGGAGGAGAAACAAGGAAGCAGAGGGACTAATAAGGGAAATGCTCCATGCAGGTGTGAGCGCACACACCAGTGGACCCCTTTGGTGTTGACTTCCACTCCGTGATAATGGCAGGGTCAGTAGGGGTGGGAAATGGCAGCACCATTAACATTTCAGAGGTGGATGTGATGCAGAAAGCAGCAGAGAAAATGCCAGAAAGAGTTCAGAGCTGATGTCAGAGCATCAGCTGGACGTTAGATTAAAGCAGATAGCCGGCTGTCACTCAAAGGGTGTCGGCAGTCAAAGGAGAACTTTGATAAGATCAGAGTGAGATCTGATGGCTCGCTACAGTCTGAGTGAAAAAACAGACGAGGAATCCTGAGCTGAGGTGGAGCTCTGCACAGAAAGGGAGCGTCAGCTGCAAACTGGGCTACACCTCCTCTGCACACGCAAAGAATTAGTTTACTGGGGTACTTGGATTCATCAGCCAAGTACTTTCTCTAAGGGAATTGCTGGGGCTCTTTCTTTTAAGGGGCCGTGAAAGGAGTTTTAATGGATAAATGAATTAAAATTGGCCCTCCGGTTATAAACCCATATCTATTTAGGGTCTGCAGATACGATCTACTTCTGTTTCCTACTCCATTTTAGTAGTGTCGGCAATCTCCAGGGGGAAATTTGAAAGGTCAGTGTGGAAATATGATCTGTTTTGATGAACTATTTCATGGCAGGAAGTTGAATAGCCTCTGGTCAAATGAAGGTAATGGCACAGATGGGCTGTGGGCGTCTCAGGAAAAAAGAGGGTTGATGTTCAGATTTGACTGCAGTGAGACAAAGTGGGTCCAGTGTTGCTGCTGTGGGACTTTATTTGCACGGACTCAGAAAGTGGTCCAGTAAATGAAACGTGAAGTATTGTTTTACTGGTCCCATAAAGAAGTTTAGAACAACACAAGTCAGTGATGTGATGGAGGACCGTGCAACAGGGAGAGGGATGGGCAGGGAAGTCCCCCCGCTGGATCCCGGACACCCACCCCACCGGACTGGGAGACAACCCTGCAGATCGCCCCCAAACTGCCCGTGCGTAAGTGCGCACTGCACCGGTGCGCGGCTGTCCCCGTCCCGCCCAGCCCGCCGGCTCATACTCACATCCAGGATGACAGAGATGCCTCTCCGCGGTTCCGGGGCGAAGAACTGCTCCTGAGCCACGGCCACCTCCTCCTTGCTGGAGGCGTACTCCCGACTGGAGATGTTCTTGTTGTCGCTCATTTTGGTGACGATCCAGCGGACGAGCCCGTCGATTCCACCGGGCTGGGCGCCGCTGTTTCCGGACTGCGCTGCCGTCGCGGACTCGCTGTCCTGACCGGCTACGGGTTTCGGCTGCTCGCGGCTTTCCTGGGCACGAAGTTTGGCTTGTTCTTTGTTGAGCAGTTTGTGGACTCCGTCCCTACAGTAGCGCGCTGCCTGCTCACACATCCTTTTGCTGCGGAGCGCTCATGCTGCGCTCTATGGGGGAGAGAGAGGAGCACCCTCCCCCACCCCCTTCCCCCCCCCCCCCCCACATTTCCCTTCTTACATCACAACACCCTCCCCAAAGCACACCCACCCCATCCTACAGACAACTCAATACGGTCTGCACGCACATCTGTGTACGGACTTAAATCAGGAATGGGGACTTTGATTGACTTTAATTGACTTCATGGAAAAATCTGCGTCTTATCTTTATACTAGTATTGTAACTCGTCCTAAAAAGTGAAATTAAAGATAGTTTTTTATTGTGAGCTGTTAGATTGCATCAGTCCAGGTTGTAGTGAAGTGCACTCACCTCTCAGGGGTGGCTGCCAAACAGCAGAGGGAATTCTACATTAATGGATTGTTTTATCTCAGGGTTGACATGTCTGACATTTTTCCTTTTAGCTTCAATAAAAACAGCCTTGTGAAGATTACTGGGTCCCAAAGGAGGATCAGAGTTTTTTTTTTCTTTTTTTTCTGTCGCATGGAGTAAAAGGAGTGTCTCCTGAACTGTCACTCCGGCTCCTCATTAGAGGTTTATGTGTGTGTGATGTGACAGAGCTAACCTTTGGTAATGAGAGACTCCCCCAGCTCTGCCCTTTCCACAGGTTAGAAAGTCTTTTCTTCAATGTGCCATGTGTCTGAGAGCACACAGCGGTGGTTTGGACAAATTCAATCCTGCTAAAACTCTGACAGGATGACCAAAAGACAATAAAGTGAAGCAAATGATGTATCTTGTCCCATCAAGGGGGCAGAGGGGTGGAAATTGGATCACTTGACGTGATTGCCCCCATGTGGATATGGGTGTGAAATGACATCAGAGCTCTTTCTGGAGAATTTATTAGACAAGAAACGACTTCTAAACAGTCTTTTTAACATATGAGTGACATTCAACTTCAGTGCTTTAGAGATGTAAATGATAAATAAACAACGTTGACCAGAACAAATGAGCCAGTGAGGCCTTCAGTGTAAACAGGTGGCTGTGCGGTCAGGTTTTTGTGCTATTCAGTGTGTGCAGACTTCTCTATGAAGACTCAGGCCGGTGGCCCTTCAGGTAAAAGACCCATGTGGTGACTTTGCCGCTCCCCTCTGAGCGCTGGCTGGTTACGGTCAGTTTGCCAAAGCATGGCCCTGAACCCCCCCCTGGAGGAGCCTCAAAACACACCGAGATGTTTTGGGTTTTTTTGGGGCCGATGCTTTCCACTCCTTTGACAGCGAAGCAAGGGTTGTCAACCTGAGAGCAGCAGGATAATGTGTAAATCTCAGCAATGTGACAAAGCAGAACGTCTTTGGATGCAAAAGAAACATCAAAAAGGAGAAACTAAAGAAACAGAATGGCAGCTTTTTTAGATAGAGTCAATTAATGCATCCCCCTGCTGAGACAATCACTCCCCAGTTAATTTAGTGGTCCTATTGTTTTGGATCACACAAAATGTGACAGAGACAATGGATTTTAACTTTGCTGGGACTTAAATATCAGACATGAAGGGAAAACTTCCACCCTTTTCATCCAGTTAACTTAGATCTGGGACAAATTTACAGAGTCTGGTGGTCGTTACCTGGAAGGAGAAACTGGTGGTCTGCAGGAACACATTCTTGAAGGGGATATTGATGCTGCGACCTGCCCTGATGCTGAAGGGGCCCTGCGCTTTCGGGGGTAGGCACACCCCGTGCAAGGGGAAGATGTACTCGCCCCCAATTCCAGAGTACAGCCTGAGCTGGGCTTTCACTTCCCCCAGCTGATGAGGCTCAAAGCAAACCTCCACCCTGGCCTCCGAGCCAAGCTGGAAACCTGGAGAGGCCCCAACGCTTTCGTCCACGATGAAATCTGACTTATCAGTCTGGAGGAACAACAGAACAACACACACAAATACACACACAAATACACACACACACACACACACACAGATGACAGCTTCTTTGATGACCACAATACACACAATTTCTGTAAATTTAATGAAAAATCTTCATTATCTATTAGATTTCTTTATATTTTCTTTAATTTCTTCACGTTTTCTTTCTATCCATCACATTTCTGTGTAATTGAAGAGCAGCACACACCGACAGGCATGAGTTTTCTTACCTTACAGGAGTACTCGGTCTTGAAGCGGGAGTAGTTGGTGAATTTAACAGGGACGGCATGGCTGCAGCCCAGTGGAGCGCTAAAGTGGACGGTTTTCTCTGGCGGTGGGGGCAGAGCTTTGAGAATCAGGTCGTGGTGGAAGTAGCCCAGATCATTACTGAGCAGAGACAGCCTGGCTGTGGACTCGCCTTCGTGTAGAGGATGGTACTCAAAACTCAAAACACCCTAAAAAAGAGACGACAGGCCCACAGAAAGCTGGAGTGTGAGTACTTTGTTCTTTGCTGTGAGGACGGTGTTTGAGTCTACCTGGGACAGTCCTGGCACCGTGTGCTGGGGGGGGGCGCTGATGTCGGGGCATTTGCACTCGGTGCTGAGGCAGGTCGGCGTGGTCAGCGGGTTCTCCACCTGTATGCTGGCTGAGACCGTCCGCCGAACGGTCGTCTCCAGAGTGATGGTGGACAGGATCCCAGGAGGCGTGACTTTGAAGGTAACAAGGTAGAACAAGTACTCACCCGTTTTCTCGTTACTAAATGTCACCTGGGTGGGGTGATCAAAGACCGGTGTTACAGTCCACACACACAAGCGGACGCACATTCAGACATGAGCTGATGATCACACCTTGGTGCTGTAATGCCCCTCTTTGTATGCAGAGAAGGACAGATTGTAGTCCCTGTTGGCGTGAGCGGGCACATCCATGTACTTGAGACCCCTGAGTGACACTGTAGCATCGGGTTTCTCAGGTTTCAGCGTCTCCATCAGCACGTGGAACCTGAGAACACAGAAACTCATTCACCTGCTCAGCATGCACTACAGATCGTCTGTTTCTTTCCCTTTCATAAAGGAAGAGTAAAGTTTTGTTGAGCTGTCAGCCCTGTTTCTGGGACCTTCTTCACTATTTTTAATGTGTCAGCAGGCTTGGTGAGGTTGTGATACTACAGCTCAGATCCTGGTTTCTGCCCAAGCCGACGGGGGCAGTTGAAACACCCCGTTCTGAGCATGCTATTTGGGTCAGATACACAGAGTCTCGCTGCACATGCGCATCAGTCAATCAGTGCTTTCTGGTGGCAGGAACGCGCTGACAAAATGGTTTTTAGTCCAGTCAAACTGGATAAAAGCTTATCTCCATGCAGCCTCTCTTCAAAACAACTAGCCATGTGGTTCTGCCTCTGCGCCTCATAAAGGATTAGGGACATTTCCATAATAAACATCATGCTGCAGATCAACCTGCAGCAGATTCAAACATACACAAATGCCCTCGTTATCGTAAGGAATAAATCAAATGTGGCTCAGATGAGAGCATTTTTAGTTCAGGCTCTTTGAATGAATGGATGATTGATTCGGGTCGATGGCTGAAGGTGCACCTGTGACCCGAACAACTGACTTTGATACAGCTACATGTCTTCGAGCTTTACGTGGTTTTCGGCGGCTCCCTGTGGAACAGCCAGCCACCACAGCTCTGTTTCCTCTGTACGAACGATTGGGAAAGTAGCTTTTCTGAAAAATGAAAGTTTTGATCCAGCAGTTTCTTTTCTATCTGTGTTTTGTTTGTGTTAAATAAAGTGCTTAATATCGTCCCTGCTGTCTTATGTTGGTAATCAGAATGATAGGAAGTTTTACCAGCTAAATCCACAGCAGTAAAATTCTTGCACCCCTCTAAACAGTTAACCAAGCAGCATTTTTTTGCAGTAAATCGAGGAGTTTCTAACCACAAGAAACGCTGTGGCCAGAGCCCCTTAAATCTGGCCCTTATATTGAGTTTAAACACACAAAAGAGCCCCTCAGGACACTGAATGTAAGCCAGTCTTCCACCAGTAAATGTGTCATTTAAGACGTCTCAGAGGGCTAAAAACATAATCAAGTATTCTTCTGGTATTGTTCAGCTTACAAAAAGTAAACAGACACAGGTTCAGCCAACAGGTGACTTGGCATTTTTGTCATTTTTTTTTACCGTTGCTGCTTTGAGAGCCAGTTGCTCACAGTAAGCAGCTGTGATTGGAGCGATTTGGCTGGCAGCTCGATCGAAATGTTGTCCTCAGCTTTGGGGGGATCAGCAGTTCCATGCAGGGAGTACAGCATGCCTCTCCCCTCAGGAAAAGAGAGGAAAACCGATCCCTGAGGGAGAGAAAAGAAGTGTTCATCAAGATTTTTTTACTGGTGAAATGAATTTACGTTGCTGGTCAGGTAAATAGTAAAAATGTTTGTCCTCCACTTGTCCAGTTTCCTAAAATATTTAAAGGACACTCTGCACACCAGCTTTTCAGCTTACAGCTCTTTAGGAATCAGCTTGTTGCTGCCTTTAAAAATCCGATTAACTGTGTTTGTTATTACCATTCCTTTACGAACTTTGAACTTTTTTTTGGAGGCTAACATACAGAGTGGAGGGCTGGATCAGGACTTGTGTTCAGCAGTTTAAAGCAGAGCACCATTTGACTGAAATCTCTCCTTTACCAGATGTTTCTTTCCTTCAGTGGTCATGGTGAGAGGACGGTATGTGATATCAACAGCCTTGTTCTGGTGGGGTTCAAAGGTCACGATGGGCGCAGCTCTCCACTGTTCTCCCTCAATGAGCGGCCTGATGCAGCAGCGCTGATTGGTGGGATTGATCACAGACAGGCTCTGGGTTTGAGAGCTGCGCACCGGGCAAAAAAAATTCACCACCTGGAGAGCAAAACACAGCAAAACAACAAAAGTTAAACAAATCAGGCTCCACAGCCTGTTCGCTGCTGTTAAACTTCAGGGTCTCATTTCAACCGTATTTTTAGGGTTATAAGACCTCAAATTTGAGAAACCAGCATCATACTGACTCTGAAGCCTTCTCTTAAACCTCTTGCCTTCTGCAGACAAACGCACAAATGCAATTTCTGAAGTGGAAATGAAACATGAGCTCACACATTTGTCCGATTCCCAGGCTATCAGTCGCCGGGGGTACTCAGCTAATTGAAACTCACTGGAACTTTGAATAAATCTTTAAATCTGCCAAAACCTGCTGAGTTCTCCAAATGAGCCAAATCAATGTCTCACATTATCTGGCGCTGTGCTTTACCAATTCCTGTACTGAGATGCAACAGCACTGACACGGCATCGTATGGGTTTTACGACTATGGAAAAAGGTTCACAGTCAGTATTAAAAGAGAAGATTTGTTCCAGTTTAATGACAAAAACCTTTTATGTGTGAAACTCTTTTATACTTATTGCTGTGAGGTTTGAAATTAAAGCATGTTATGACAGTCATTAAAAAAGATGAACAACACCAGCGGATGACGTTGTCTTCAATTATTTCTCTCTGTAGCCACTGTTAGTTATGATCTGACTGAAGGGAAACAAGCCTCCACAGAGCAGCATTCTGTGTGTCAGATGTTGGAGCTCTGATGTGCTAAAAGCCGGTTACGGATAGTGGTTGGATGGAACTCCTCCTTTGTCATGAGGACTGTTGGACTTTGGGTTAGCCAGTCTGGTGTGCAGTTAGCTTCTTTAGCCAGGCTCCTGGGGCATATGCTTCCTTTAGGTCCACAGAAACATCACCCTCTGCCTTGTGTGGATGCACTGCTGAATAGCTTTATTTTTCTGGGTTCTTCTCTAGTTTTCTGAATTTAGCCTGATCTAAGAGTGATTGTTTGGCAGCTTCCAGTGCTTCAGATGTATCAGACCTGTATTTCTTCTCGTTTTTTTTGCATTTTGTTTAGGAGGCTCTGATAATTGGCTAGCCTCTCTCTGTGTTGCCTCAGGTTTCAGGTCAGCGGCTCTCTTGTGGAGGTTATCAGGGCTGTGTTTTACAGCTTGGAGTCCATTGTTGGAGTTAGCTGACATTGCTGTTTTTCTCTAGCTTTTGTCTCTCACTCATGTTGATGTCAAGGATGCTAGAGGCATTCCCTGAATTGGAGCTAATGATCTGCTTTTTGAAATAGCGTTGTCCTAAAGCCATGTTAATGCAGCCACGTCATCATAAATTTAACAAGAGATCAACAAACCCCCAGCTGGTAGAACCACCTTTAGCAGCAGGATGGTTGGATTTCTAACCAGCTCTTTCCTGTAGGTTTTATACCAAATGTGAAACATTAAACTTAATTTCACCTCTTAAAATTGGATCAGTGGATTAGACTACAATCAAATACCTGCATTGTTTTTTTTTATTTTTGATATCTGTGAAGATTCTCAGTCATCCAGGTCATGGTCAAGCTTGAAAAGTTCAGTTTAGGCAACTTATTTATTATTATATATTTATTTCTGATGTTTTTATCTTCTACGTTTAATAAGAATAGCAAATAGATGAAAAGAAGCTTCAGTCTCACCTCCTGTGTTGTGGAGGCTGCAATGCAGGAGCCTGTGACAGTGAGCAGAACGGGTGGGGGGGAGCCCTCCAGAGAGCAAGACAGGCCCTCATATCTCCTGTCATTACTGAGCTCAACTGGAGCGAAAGTCACTTCAAAGGGAACCTCCATCCCCGGACAGATATATCCTTTTGCTGGTGTGATGGACAGCTCTGCGGGGAAATTCTCAGTCTTCCAGTGGAACCTGGTAATCAGGAAAGCACAGGGGCCGATTTAAATTCAGCCAGGATATTTCCTTTGACAATGATCGCAGAGTGGATGCGTTTCCTATAAAGGTCTGCAAGCAGCTTAATCTTATGGAGACTTTACCTGGCGCCAATGTCACCAATGTTCACCATAATGATCCGTCTGCTGGCCTGGCAGCGCTGGACCACAGCTCCAAAGGACAGGTGGTTCGGGTCCAGCATAACCTCCACACCCTGATGGGTTTAAAAGGAGCCGGTGGTTAATATCCCTTCTTTCAGGCAACGTCAGATTTATGCACACAAAATAAAAAAGTCAAACAGAAATTAACAGCATGTATTTAGTTTTTAGTCTGGTTAGTGGTCATAATGTTATGGTTGATGGGTGCATAACATGGACTGCCTACCAGGCAGCAGCCTTGGACGGTCAGCAGGGGGTGGAAGAAGCCTGCAAACTCCGCCTGCAGTTCAGCGCTGAAGGCAGGAACGTGCCGACGAGGCGAGAACTGAATCTCCACCTGACAGGAGCCGCCGGCAGATTTGAGCTTCAGCTCGCCTGCTGGTCTCACGGACAGATCCTGCAGGAAAAGACGGTGGCATTCAGTGCTGCTCAAAAGGAGGCCTGCTTGTTCTTAGACTGTCCCACCTTTTGTCTCACCTTTGGATCCAGAGGTGTATTTGCATTAAGCGTCAGGGTGAATGAGAGGTCCAAACTGCTGCGATTGACTAGAACCACTTGCTTTGTCACCTTCTGACCCAAAGTCAGAGATCCCAGTTTCACCTTCTTCTGGCGAGGATCCTCCACTTCCAGCTGGAATAACAGAGGATTTACCTTTCGTCTTTTGTAAATGTGCTGGATTGAACTCAGTTTAACAAAACAGTAGTCACCTAATACTAAAGGAAACATTTTTTTAAGAAAAATGTTTAAAAAAAAGAAAAAATACAAGAAAAGAATATCTTTACCTGAAAGTCTTAACCAGAATGAATCTAAAGAGATAATGATTTCTTGAATTTGGGAACATGGACTAATTGAATCAGATTGCAATTAAGGTAGGAAATTAAAATGACAAGAATGATTAGTTCATGTTGGAAAATAAATCTAATTATATTTTTTGTATCCTAATATTACTGCAGATTGTGGACTACGAAGATCTTTCTAACAGAAAACTATAGAGAAACATCAATATTAGGAGACAAATGTCATAAACATATTAATAAAATATAAACTGTTGAAACAAATATATACAGTGTAATACATTTCAATTGCCATACAAAGAAAGTATTTTAGATTCAGACCTAATTCTAATAAGGCTCGTTAAATCTGACGTGGGACATGACATTGAAACAGCAAACGCTCACTGACAGCTGTGATAATGTGAGTTTTCCCGGCTGTATGGACTGTGTAACCAAACCATAACCCTGCTTCCCGTTACCATGCCAGGGAAGCATTCAGTCCAATAACAGGATTTAACAGCTCATGTGAGCGGAGCCTTGTGCCATCCTGAGGTTTGATGGAGATTTATAGAAACGTGATGAAACTGGAGCTTTTATGCATCTGTATTGATTTCATACAAAAGTGTTTAAATTATGCTGCCAATACCAGAGACATAGACATGTGTCAGCCTGTTTTACAGCTTCTACAGACAGAAGCTCTGTCACCTGCTGCTTTGTTATTTACTTGTATCCATTTATGTTGGCAGCTTAATGCAGCTTCTTGATGGGAATCCCACCTCCTTAAATCCTAGGATCAGTGTCAGATGCACACACACTCCTCCTGCTCACCTTCATCTCAGTGCCCTGCCCCAGAACCTCCACCTGTCTTGTGACGCAGCTGTTCAGGATGAAGCTGAGCTTCTCGTGGTATCGACGTGCCTCAGATGGATAAAAGGTAAGCGGTACCCTGATTGCAGTACCAGGGGATAAAATGTCCGGTTGGAAGTCCATCTTAAGAAAATGTGTGTTTTTGAACAGGCACTGGACACTGATGAGGATACAGAGAGGACAGGGGGTTGGTCTCACAGCTCTTTTTACCATCTCGGCCTCCTTTTCCATTCACTTCTCCTTGACGTTAACGTTGGTGCTTCCCATGGGGAGAAAGCAGAATACCTGACGTCTCTCCTCCCTTTGTTGCTGATCACCAGAGTTTGGGACGGCGGCTGCATGCCGGGGCAGGACAGGAAGCACCTGCCGAAGTTGAACTTGTTGAAGGAGAACTCCAGGCTGGGTGCTACCGCCCCACCTTTAACGGTGAATGTAAATGTTGGCCCAAACTTCACCTGACAGGAAAAATCAAACATAAAAGAGACGTAATGAGTGCAGACAGAAGAAATTACATTCAGCTCTCTGACCCCCTCACTGGCATCCTACCTTGACATTAAGGCTGACGTCCTGGAGGTTGCAAATGTTCTGCGGACTGAAGAAGAGTAACGACTGCAGCTGCTTCCCCACCTCAATGGTTGCAGTTTGAGGCTTTGCCTCCAAGTGCTGAAGAAGATCTCCGGGACCCATTAATTCAAAGTTCACCTCAAGGCTGAATCTTGCACAATTGGACACCAGCAACTTAAAGGTGGATTGCTCTGAAATGCCCACCTATGAGTGGTGTACATGCAGACCAACAGAGGAGATTAAAACTCTGAGGGAAAAGAGGATGGTTTTGTTTTTTAAAGTATTTTTCTGTCTCTATTGTGAAAGTGTGATAACCTTTCCGAAGTCCAAAATGTCTTGGTGGTTGGGGGAAACATCTTTGAGGCCCCCGTCAGGCTGCTCAATCTGAACTGTGGCACTCATGGCAAAGCAATCGGCCCTAACGGTGAGCGTGAGTGGTTCTGACCTGCACTTCACCTTAAGGGTCACCCTGAAACTCACATGGGCCTCCAGGGAAGGCGTGAGTGACACAAACAGCGGCAGCCTGAAACAACCACAAGCAATTTTCCGTCTATTTACGATAAAAACAGTATCCACCTTTTCAAAGATCAGCAGTGGGGTGTTCACCTGTCTTTGGGTGCCACCGTGCCGCTCATGGGATGCACAATGAGACCTGACAGCTGATCCTCAGAAAGAAGAGATTCCGGCAGGACAGAGAAGCTGAGGGGCTCCAGCTCTCCGTTCACCAGAGCCACTGTCTGCTCTGCTTGACGGCCTGTGTGCGACACACACACATACACGTTTGGACCATTTCTGAGTAACAATCTGCATCACCTGTGAATCAGGCAGATCGTTCAACATCCCAAAATCCAGACCTGAGCTGATGAGACAGAGACAGAAAGCTGCTGGATGATAACTGAGGGCTATGGTATGTTTCTCTGCTCATTTCTTTTGTGGGGAAATACTAACATAACCATGTCATTTTACTGTAATTTATCTACAAATCATAGTTTTGGACTGCTTTGTTTGATGAAGAAACACTTTGCAGATTAATTTAAAAAAACAAGGGACGTATAATACTTAAAATCTCTTTTCATCAAATCTAATAAAACTCAAATTTGCTGATGAAAGTCAAATTTACACTATTTTGGGAAGTAAATGTAGAAGCAATAAAGAACGGGCAGCTGATCAAAATGTTTCACCACTTAATACTCAAAAAGTGAAAAGCTCATAAAAACATGAAGATGTGGAAGTTATAAAAAACTACAGAATCACTCAACAGACCCAACAGTCATGATTAATTAATGATTCTGAACTCAACATGACACTCTACTTGGTGGAGGGCTTCATGTAAAATAGTTACTAATCTTTAAGTCATCATAAAATAATTATCTTCCTGTCTCAAGCTGGTACAAAAATAATCAAGAACCCTCATAACAAAAGTCATATCATAATCTGTTCTCCATGAACACAACCTTATCTGCCATCTATCCACCAATAAATCAGCAATCAACAAGTAATGATTAATTCCCAGAAAATTCTGCTTAATTCAAGCCACTTTTTGGGGAGACTGTAAAAATCTTTTGGTGTCTGAATACAATATTTAAACTCTTTTTGTAGTAAAAGGAATCAGATCGCTTTGAAAAATAATTGTCCCCTCATATGAAAACCAGAGATCCTGCTGGATCAATCTCTTTGATAGGTAGAATTTGTGTCCGTCATAAAGGCCAGGATTACATTTTCAGCTCTGCTGGTCAATTGATTCCTGATTCAAAGCTCAGAAAAGATGATAAAGAGTTTTCCATTTTCAATGTATTTGACAAACTGCTGCGAAAATGTTCAAATCAAAAGTAAGTGTGCACGGCTGTCTGTTTCTTCACCAAAAAAGGATTTCTGACAAATATAATAAAATATTTGTCAACCTGGCCCCATACGTGTACAGCAGTGTTACACACCAACAAGCAGCTCTCCAAGATCAAGGTGAGGCCTCTGAAAATAAACGAGTGGTTCTCTGGTGGTGCCCACCAACAGGAAGGGAACAGATAGCGACACAGTCTCGATCACAAAAGTCCAGAAGGACTCCACAGTATCCGGCTGATCTGCAATATATTCAAAACACACCTGCAGACATGGGCAGAGGAGAGAATTATCTCAAAGTCATGAGCAAACCCCGAGCGGGGGCTGGGATGTTCTGTGCTCCTTTTCGGTCTTACCTGAGTCCTCTTCCCAGGTAGGATGGAGCCACATGGGCTGAGACAGCGGAAAGGACTGGCACTGTCGTCTTCACACCTCCATTTGAAGGAGTAGGTCCGACTGGTTGGGTTCAGCACACTAAAACATCTGCAACACACATTTTTTAAGCACTTCCAGTAGTTAGTATCAAACCTCCAATCTGTCCCTTCATTACCTCTTTGATGGTGTGGAGAAGCCAACAGCTTCAAACTCCAAAACTCGACTGTTGAGGTCCACAGGGCTCCTGACCCTGCGGCGATGGCCGCTGATGTAGTCTGAGTCCTCAAAATCAAAGTGGCAGTGGGGCAGCAGGCTACGGCCAAACACCGGGATACAGGGAGCAAGATCCCCATCCTGCAAGTTGGGAATGCTGGAAAACATGTAAACACACAGGGAATGAAATGATAAGAATCCAGAATCCTGCAGCTGCTGTCCAGCTCATAAAGATGCCGATGCCTCATGAGCTGGAGCTCCATCAGCCCTTTGGAACACTGTGCACAGTCTGTTAGTGAAAATATTTCTATTTAAAATTATGCTAAAAGCTTTCACAGATGCATCATCTGCCTTTGTGAATGATCAAGTTATAAACCCTCTTTTTATTTGACAGATCGTCTGTTCACCTGCAGATCAGCCTTCCCTGAAACTGAGCCAGCTCCACTGGTGAAAAGCGGACGCTGAAGTCCTGCGTGGCACCAGGAATAATGGTTCCTGCACTGGGTTCCACGGTGAAAGCGGGCAGCTCAGGGTTAACCGTTAGGAGAGTGGCCACTCTGAGCAGAGCACTGGAGGGACGAGCTGCAGTCAGCGAATCTGCCGATCCAGGACAGGAGGTGGGGCTCCCATCTGTCACAGACAGCAGGGAAGTTGTTTGTTTAAAGGCAAACAGAAACCCAAAGACCTACATCTCAGACTCTACATGCCTGCTGAAGTTTAAAGGTCATGGCAGTGGTATTAGTAAAAGACTGAAACATGGCTGGTTAGTAACGCTCTTAAGAAGAGAGGGCCCAGCGTCCTGCAGCTGAAGGAGGTTCCACCGACTGCTGGATCATGGAGGGACTTTAAACACCATGTCACATGTTGCTGCTAATCATAGACTGTGTTTAGCAACTCTTTTAAGCATCGGATGAGGATTTACTGCTGTGAAATGGGCGTTGTAGTAGTAACCTTTCTGTTTGACATCACAGCAGAGGTGCTGGTTAGGACTGAATCACTTTAACTCTGAGAAGAAGAGGTAGTTCTGTGCCGTACCTCCATCCCGACTCCCTGAGCTGCTGCTCGAATCCATCAGGACCTGCCAGGCGTAATCTACTTTCACGCTGCCTTCGTTCACAATCTGCAGCCTGTATTTACACACACAAAAACAATGTACACAATTTCATCTAAAAAAAGACCCTTAATAAAATTGTGGGGGACATAAATGTGACAGTATAGTATGTAATAAGAGAATAACTCAGCCCATGTCATCGTCTTTTATTGAACAATAATTATTGTATCTCTAAGGTTTGGGTATTAAAGTCTCTAATGTGATTACATGGACAACAGTATTTAGAAGCCAGAACCGGACTTACTGGTGAACCCTGGTTTGAAAAAGCATTGTGTCTTTGAAGTGGATGGTGTTGTTGGAGCAGCTGAACTTGGCATAGTCACAGACTGCACTGATGAGCAAATCCAGCTCCCACTGAGAGCCATCCACCACAGAGCAGCTGGGCTCAGGATCGGTCTGCACCACCTGCAGGCAGGCACAGACACGAACACGATTATCTATACGTCGTCCATCCGTCTGTCAGACAAACTGGGGCTGGGTGTATCCTGCTGGCCACAGGCAGCTGCGGTGCTTCAGAAACCTTTGAAGGGCTTTGCCACTGTACTGTCCTTTGCCGGTCGTCCCAGTCGGCCACCTGCTCCAGAGGCTGCTGGAACTCCACCCGGCAAAACTTGCATTTCTTTGACTTGCTTTTCAGAGTCACCGGCTGACTGGAACAAAAGATAACGCTCACTTCTTTGGAGCATCCAGCATGAAGGTGCCCGACCTGCAAACAGAGAGGATTTCTATCATCACACACAGCCGTGTTATCAGGGAACCTGTTCAGCTTACAGTTAAGACAGATATGAGGCCAAATAAAACAGCCATTTGTAAAGTTGCCATCCTTCTACTTCTGAATGAATGAATATGAATTCTGAATTATGATGCTGCACCTGTTTTGTGTTTTCACACTGTGTAGTGAGACTAAAGTATGAAATCCGAGTCCTAATTGTTGTGTCAGTTTTTTTTTTTTTTACCTGAGGTGAAAAGCTGACATGAGATCCGCCAGGAGGCCACTCGAATCTCACCACCTGGTCGCTACTGTGGTTGATCAAGGTGAAACTCTCCTGGTGTTGGCAGTCTACATGGCAGTCACCAAAGTTCAGCACCTCACAGTTCCCTTGGAAAAGAAACAGGCCTTTTAGGTAAATTCCCGTTTACACACTTCCTTTCTTTTTACAATATTTCTCAATATTTCTGTTAATAGGACTTCTTTCTACTCCCTCCGCTCTTTCCCACCTTCTCCTTCCTCCTCCTGATCCACGTCCTGAATCGGCCTGCTGATGTAATCGAGTGAGACGATTTCCTGGTAAGCCTCCGCTGTCACCAAAATGATGGTATTGCTGTACTGGTTGTCCTTGACCTGCACTGAAATCTTTGCCTTCACAGTGAGAGGTCTGTCGGAGCAGAAGCTGACCTCAAAAGCCTCTAGTTTGTTCACGTCGAGCCACAGGACGGCTCTGTGCACCGACTGACATTCTGCAAGAGAGAGAGGGGTTTCAATTTGAAGTGTGAAAGGGATTTAACCTCAGACTTACAACAAGAACCAAAAAAAATCAGGTTAAAGAGTTGAATGCAAGACAGATTAGCATATTCATTTACTTTAACAATGGAATCAGACACTAAATAACAGCATGCTGCATCACACCAGACTCATGTTTTGGGATAAGTGCTCTGAGTCTATGGTCTACATTCCATTCAGACTCTGGGCCCAATCTTAA